TGGTCGAGACAGAGTCTTTCGGCTGGACCTAAATGCGGTTCCGGCCTCGGAACCGGTGCCCCGAGGGGCGCCAAGCTTTAGGTCCAGCGATCTCGCCCCTGTTTCGACGGTAACGGGAGCCGCCGCGGGCCGCGGCGGCGCCCGAGCCCGACCAGACGAGCTCGACCATTTCGAGCCCCGCGACCTAACCCTTGCACCGAGGCGATGCGTGGGTGACGATGAACGATCTCTGGTGCTGCGAGGGCTCAAATCTAGCTCGAAGGGGTCGGGGAAGCCGAACGCGCCCCATCCCAGCCCATAAAACCTCTCGTTCGCGTCGCCCCGCAATCGGCTCGATGTCGAGTTTTCGCCGTTGCCTCGTCCGTACGCGCGCGGTCAACAAAGCCACTGGGATCGTGGTACGTCGTTGCATTATGGCTGGGCTGTGGGCCTGAGAAGCTGATGGATTCTCCATGCACGCTCGAAAACGTGCTCGACGTTTCGAGCGAGTGCAACCGGTAAACATGGGCTCAGACGTATCTGCGCGCGATAGCAGCCGGCCCCGGCCGCCTCTGGCCCGCGAGGGCGGCCTCGCTCGGGAGGTCGAGCGACGCCCACTTCGACGCCCTCGGAGGCGTCCTGCGGCCGCTCCCGCTTCCGTCGCGCAAAATGGCCCCTAGTCCCCGCGCGCCGCGCCGCGCGCGGCCCGCAGGAGCGCCGCGACGCGCGCGCCGGGCGGGTCCGGGCAGAGGGACGCGGCTCCGCCGCCCGGGACCGCGTCCGCCCAGCGGCGCGAGAGCCCGAGCCAGGCGCCGCGGTGCGCGCCCCAGTCGACGTCGAGGCCCGCGACCTCGACGCCGCCGGCGGCGATGTCGTCGTTCTTGCAGTCGAAGAGGAACGTCGCGTTGCCGGCGGCGAAGGGCGCGCGGACTCTGAGCGTCGCGTTCGCAAAGGCGACGCCCGACAGGAGGACGTGGTCGTTGCCCCGGAGCACGGCGGCGCTCGGCCAGTCGGCGACGACGCGCTCGACGCGGACGCCGCGCACGGCGCTGTAGCCGCTCCGGTGCTCGAGCTCGAAGTCGACGGGCGCGGACGGCTCGCCCGCGTAGTCGTAAAAATCCAGCAGCCGGAGGTCCTCGAAGACGACGTCGTCGAACGCGCCGCCGTCCTTGGCGTAGATCACGAGCCCGCGCCCCGAGT